TGAGGCACTGTGGGCCAGCAGCAGCAGAATCATACTCCAACTGCATTGACATCTGCAATGTCATGGCCTTGTATACCCCTCAGTCCACTATTACCATCAAGGCACAGGAACCCTGCCCTGGTTTAAAGAAGAGTGCAAGAGGATATAAGGAGTAGCCCCAATCATATTAAAAAATAAAGTTACAAGACTACTTGCATGCTAAACAGCATAAGGACCAAGTGATAAATTGAACTAAGCAAATTCACAACTGATGAATCAGATTTAAATTCTGCAATTCTGCTACATCTAGACATGAATGGAGTTGGACAATTAATAATTCACTGGAGGAGGAGACTCCAGAAATATCCCTATCCTCATTAATGGGGAGCCCAGAAGATCAGTGCAAAAAAAAAAGGCTGAAGCATTTCCAACAACTTCCAGCCAAAAGTACCAAGTGGATGATCCATCTCGGTCTCCTCCAGAGGTCCCCTGTATCACACTTGTCTGTCTTCAATCAATTCGATTCACTACATGTGACAACAGGAGGCAGTGAATACTGCAAAAGCTACGGGCTTTGACAAAATTCCATCAATCGTCTTGAACTCCAGAACTTATTATGCCCTTAGCCAAGCAATTCCACACCAGCTATGACACTGACATTTACCTTACAAAGTGAAATGTTGCCCAAGTATGTCCTGTAGATGTAAAGCAGGACAAATCCAGCTGTCTAATTACCACACAATCAGTCTATTCTCAATTGTCAGTCAAGTGAAGGAAGGTGTCACCAATAATGCTATCAAGCAGTATTTGCTTAGCAATAATTTATTCACTAACACGCAATTTCAGTTTTGCTAGGGCAGATCAGTTTCACAACCACTGCCCATCTAGAAGGACAAGGTTAGCAGATACATGGGAACACACCCACCTTCAAATCACTCACCATCTTGACTTTGAAATTCATTGCCATTCCTTCAATGTTGTTGGATGAAAATTCTGGATATTCCTCCTTAATGGATTTGTGGGTCTACCTGCACCAAATGAATTATAGCAGCTCACCACCACCTTCTTATGGGCAGTTAGGGATAGCAATAAATACTGGTACAGATAGCCTTGCCCATATCCCATGAGTATATTAAAAAAAACGTGAAAAGCATGTTTGTCAAAACTGATACTTTCTGTTTTCGGTAGACTATTTTTCCTCACAATGCCAGAAATGGCAAAACAAAGTCCAAAATTCTAGAGGAAGCAAAAACATTAATAGACCTTCAAGTAAGTCATATGCTAGTTCCTGTGTTTCATTTATCAGGCTTCAGGAACGGAGTCTTTGGAGGTCATTCAGTTTGCCTTAGGTGAATATCAATCTGTTTCTGCTAATATGACCAAATAGTCATCTGGTATAGTACAACATGGATAAATGATTTTAGTTTGCTGCGGAGCGTTAAATTTAAGTCTAGAACAACTCAATGACCAATCTGTACTGCAGAGTGAATACTATAATAACTACCTCACTTCTGGATTCTTCAAATTATGAGTCACATCAAAGTGATGCACATTTCAGCATATGAAGATTTCTGAAACTTTAAATGATGAGCCAGTGTGACAACATTTGGATATTGTGAAACACAGAAGACTTTTGTAACTAACTTTGTAGCTATATCTTTAGGCCCTGAAGATAAAGCATTGCTTTATGGCTCTTCAAATTTTACTAATTCCATGAAATATATTTAAATGTCATATTTATTTGATACTTTCATGTATTATTTTCTTGTTACTGAGAAACCTCTGGCAGGATTATGAAAATTCAATATTTTTAGCATGGCTGTTCAGCACAGATAGGCAGCTCTAACAATTAATATTAAGAATGACTTGCCTCAGACAACTTACTGTCGGTCATCATTTAATTTATTTAAGGGTTTATGCAAATTTGATCAGTAATCAATGATGTATATTGGATCTACAAATTAAGTTGCCCAAGTGGAATTAGTTTATCTTGGTTTTGGATGTTCTGATGCCTAGATATTAACAATCTTGCGTTTATCAGCATTCTACACTCTGCATGCTGATTAATGAACCATGGCAAGCATACAAACTCCTTAGCCCAGAGAGGTCATTCTACACAAGACTGGAGCTATTGATGTTCTGTTTCAAAAGCAAGCTAAGCTTATGGATAGATGGTGCTCATAAACAAAATTCACGAATAATAAGTTTTAAAAATATACTTAAGTAAAATGGGATTATATTTAGAGAAATACAAGTATGCCCTAAATGCAAAAGATAAATGCTGCCAATTTTAATTAAAAATAGTGAAATGGAAAGGTTTACTCAGAAATAAAAACCTATGTTTGTATTCTGAACCATCTATTAATGGCCTTAACAGAATCCACTTTCTAACAGTGACTTTAAAATGTTCCAAGGAATTATGGTCCATGAAACAATAGGTTTCATTCAACATTCTGTAAAATGCTGCACAGCATAACTATGGAGAACAAATTAGTACAACGATTCTGTTGAACTAGGAATTCAATCCATGAAACAGAGACATTGGAGTTCTTTGATAACGAGCTGAAGTAATCCTGCAGGATAGAGCATGCAGCAAAATACTAAGTTTGTAAGTTAACAACTGAGTCTAACATTTTTTCAATAATGTATGGAACTTCCTTAAATCGAGTTTAGAAGCAACAATTACATTCCAGGCAATATTGACTCCCAACATCATGTACATTAGAACTGCAGAACAAATGTTGATGAAATATTTAAGATGCTAAAAAATATTCTGGCAAATAGTCACAGAATTAATTTACGACTGATTTGAGCACCAAAAAACATGAACACCCTGCAACATAATTCAACATTGTTAGTTAGATGCAGCAGTTTACATGACCCATAATATATCCATTCTAAAATGAATAATTTCTTTGCAACCAAATTATTGTGAAGCTAGCTTGAAGTGTAGCTCAAATACAGGTCTCTCCACCAATGTTTCTGCGTAATGTATCAGGTTCTAGCTTTTGCCTGGATACTACACTTCAGTGATATTTATTTACACATGTATTGTGTCTTGTGTACCTACAAACTAAACAACATCCAGGGGAATAAGGAATTAGTGAAATCATATTAGTTAAATATATATGAATTACTCTTGGTTCAGACAGAGATCATTCACTCTATTTTAATAAATCTACATTTAATATTAATGAATATCAATTGCATTTCTTGAATTGTTCATCCACTTTCTGCTCATAAATTTGCCAGTTCTTTTTCTCTTCTTCATTACCCAAGTACTTATTTTCTCCTGTCTGTTTGGCTAATTTCTTATATTTTCTGTTATTGCTTTTTAGCGGCAATAGTTTGAACGAAAATGTTTCTGCTCATCATGCCAAAAAAAATGCCATGTAATGAAATTCCAACTTAAGAAATTCTGTGAAATGCAGCTCCACATCTTTGCTCAAACCATGTAATTAAATGCCATTCAAATAGCATGTGACAAGTAAGTAAGAAGCCTAAAAATTGAAAATGAACTATGAATTTGAATTTAACCTACTCCGTTCAACAAGTATAACATATACCTTGAAAGGCATCCATATATTCTCAATCAACAGGCACAATACTGCCCAAGCAAGCAACTAGGCAAAAACTAAAACTGACATCGTTGAACAGAGCAATCAGTTTTTTTTAATCAGTAGAACTCCCAACAATCCTTGAATGGCTACCCATCCCACACCCAAAACAAGCATAAGTTTACTTTTGTATTAGGGGAATTGCTCTTTTCTTCTCTTCAAAATTCAAATGTAGATTTTATTTTCAGTGAAGCTTTTGCAGTTGCATTTTCATTTTACTTCATAAAGACAGTAGATTAATTGTATATTGTACTTATTAATTGTTCAAACACCACATTGTTTGAAAGCACTAACAATATAAGAAAGTAGTTCACTGTTTAGATTTACAATAAAATACATTTCTAACAAAATCATGAATAGAAATTACAACCACCTTATTTATTTGCCAAAGTGTTCAGAGGTTTCTAAGTTTTCCTAACACATTTCTCTGAAGATGTCAGATGGGTTGAAATGATTTTTTTTCTGAGTTCATTTGACAAGTGTATGCGATGATTTTAAGTGAATCCACTATTGAGGAACAAGCTTCTTATTTCAATAATGTTAACAATAAAACATCAAGTGCTTCTGTTTCTCAACGTACTGCTGTGATTAGACTTGTAATTCATTGCAACATAGGAGTATGGTGCTCATTTTCAATTTTCTAACCACGTGACAAACTGGTGTTGTAGATTGGTTTCCTGTTAAAAATGACCACATTTTTATTGCTGGGAAACAAGAAGTAGTGGTTTCTTTAACAGTCAGTGAATCCACAATGCTGGTTTTATATCCCGGCAACAAGTTCTTTAAATTATACTGATTGATTTGTGATGTGTCCAAATGGTGACAAAATATTATTGAAGAAATAGTGAAACTGTTTAAATACTTAAGCAAACATACATTCACAAAGAACCTGATGGCACGTTATGGTTATGCGCTCATCAGTGTGCTCTTTATTTTTAATTAAAAGGAGAATCTGTTCAAAGATGATTGTGTTCAAAAAGACACTTGTCTTTGTTAAAATGTGGTCATTAGACCTGTTAATCCTTCTTGTTAATGCATTCGTAGAATCAGTTTGGTTTTGGCAATCTATAGTGATTACTATTTATAGTTGGTTGTTCTAGTCAAACCAGTGCTGTAAGGCTCAGTTTTACCTTTTCCTTCTGTATTTTTCCAACAATACTGATTTAGACACAAGATAAAAGGTCTGCAAAGACAGTACACACATACCCCATAATGTGGATAGCATTTTCTCATGTTATAGGCTTTGATCATCGTGTACTTTTTGCAATTCTTTCATTGACAAAGAAGCATATCAACTGAGCTGCTGTAATGTACTCTTTGCAATGAACAGACTTTGATGTGACTGCTCATTTATAATATAGATCACCATAAAAAACAAACAAGTAGAAAATAAGGGCTCCTTACCAAGAGGTTGTCCGGCAACTATTCTGGAATTTTCCCCTGCCACTGCTGCACGGGCATTCCTTTCACTCATGTATTGTACAAATGCATATCCTTTGTGCACAGAACAGCCAACTATCTTTCCATATTTTGCAAAAATAGCTTCTATATCCGCTTTTTTCACAATAGCAGTGTTGAGATTGCCAATGAAGACTCTGGAGTTGATAGACCTGGGATCATTCTTATTGGTAACATTGCTTGTCTGTGTTTTGCCAGTCATTGTAGATTATCTTCGCCTAAGACGGAAGAAAAATAATTCAATGTCCAAAAATTATGATAGCCATTCCGCTGTGATAATGAAATTTAAATCAAAGTCTCAAAAAGCAAATAACTTTCCTCCTCTTAAAGTCCAAGGGGCTCTTTAAACTTGCTACTTAAAACTCATCTTAATATCAATTATTTTCTACCATGTCTCCAATCGACTCAGTTGGCAAATTAGTGTCATTCTAATTACACACAGTTGGGATTAGGCATTATTTCAAGTAATAGATTGATATGATTAACATTTTGCCAATAATGATCAGACATGTATCTCCTGGATTTAAACAATTGTGTTTAGCATCCCCTTAATATTTTACCTGCTGAATTAAGGGCTCCATTACTGTGATTCTTTTTGCTCAAAAAATATGCTGCAAAAATTGTAAAACCAATCATTTAAAATTATCGACTACTATTTCCCCACAAAATATGCCACAAAAATATATATATCATCAGAAATTACTGACTGTTATTTTGGAAGAAGAAGTCAGAGAAGCACTGTTTCAAGTTGACACCAGTGAGATTGATATTCCTAGCTGTAGCAGATTTGTTGTACACCCACATTGTGCATGTGTGTGTGGGTGTGTGTCTGTGTGTGTGTGTGTGTGTGTGGGTATGGGCAGGTCCTCAGTGGCATACTGGGAAATATTGATCTCCTTAGAACACTAAGTAGAAGATACATAGAAGACATGGTCTGCACTTGAAGGGTGGAAAATTAAAACCTTGTCTTGAGAAATAGCAGCTCCAATATAGCCAAGGAGAAAGACAGAAGGTCACATTTCTCTCAGGGCAAGTAAGGATTAACAGTGGGATACTTTTCACATTTTTGTGGTTTCTTACCCAATAGCCACCTCCCAGACGGAAAACCTGCAGCAAAAGACTACAGCCGTGGAGTGGGCTGTAGGGCTGAGACATGGGGAGTTGGAAGAAGGAAGGAGATCACAATGGGTGACATCTTGGTGATGAGGGATATATTGCTGTGACTGTGGTGGTCAGTGGTGGGTACCAGCAAGACTGAAGTATGATCTCCTGTTCTTTCTCACCCAAAGGCAGAGGAGAAAATGCAGGCTCCTTACGGATCCAAGTATTTTTGTCTCCCATTACTGGTCAGGTTATCTGGCTGACATTAATTAAAATCATGGAGAAACGAAGCCTCACTGAAAGGTTTTAATGGCTGATCTATCTCCTGACAGTGGATTTGTCACTGGCTCCCAATCTGCTTATGTTGAAACTGGAAGTGAATGGCTACTTGAACATCAACATTTTTACAGTTTTTATTTACAACTTCCTAACCATCCAAAGTCCACCATTTGTTTGAGGTTAAATTTATCCCCAATATTTAGTAGTTAAGTAACAAGTAGTCCATATATGGAGCAAGGTCATGATGGTAGCCACAGCATTGATCGTGACACAATCAAATACAAGTTAGATGATTTTCTTTTTCAGAGAATAACATTTTGCCTAATTTGAGACATGACATTTGATGAGTATAACATGCTCGGAAGCAAAAGGTGACTTTGAGCTCCTGGTTCCCAGAGCTCTCCAGAATTGGAATTTTCCTTACGTAGTATCTGAATCTGGTGCAGTTGACAGAGATTGATTGTTATGATTAATCAATAACTTCATTATCATTGTATCATGCAACTACATAAATAAGAGGTAAAGCAGACAGACCTTGGCTTTTTATCGTTTAGGAATTCCTATATCGTTGGTCATCGCTGTTAACCCTGCCTCCATGATCTGCTATAGATGTGGTTACAGGACTTTTACCTTCAGCAAGTACCTGATGAGGTGATGCTTACGTTAACTCCAATAACCTAAGAACTAGATGTGAGTCTTGTAGTACTAGGGGAGGCGATGCCCCAGTGGTATTATCGCTGGACTGTTAATCTCAAGAATTCTAGATAATGTTCTGGGGACCCGGATTCGAATCCCGCAATGGCAGATGGTGGAATTTGAATTCAATAAATGTCTGGAATTAACAATCTAATGATGACTGTGAATCCATTGTCGATTGTTGGAAAAACCCATCTGGTTCACTAATGTCCTTTAGGGAAGGAAACTGCCATCCTTACATGGTCTGGCCTACATGTGACTCCAGACCCACAGTAATGTGGTTGACTCTGAATTAGGGATGGGCAATAAATGCTGCCTAGCCAGCAACGCCCTCATGCTGCGAATGAGTATAGAAAAAAAAGAATGATCAATAGCCGTTTATTGCAGCTCCTGGTATTTACATATATTCTAATCACAGGAATTGCTGTGTCTGGACTAGTACTAAGCAATTTGGATAAAATCTGTAACACACTTTTCCCAGCAAGTCATGCTGCAAGTACCTCCAGTAAGCAGAAGACTGAGACCTTTATACCAATCAGGTCATGTGCCATGATACAGTGGCTATATCATAAGCATGTCTCTAAAAGATACACTGCATACTAGCTGTGAGACTCAGATAACACTGCACAAGCAGGCATTAATATTGCAGCATATCATTTTGTGGTGCTAGTCACATTTCATGTCCACACTGACAGAACAAATACCTTTTGGGGAATTTGGGACACCAATAGACATAGGAACTTAAATAGTACCGTAAATGCACAATGAATGGCTCTTTAAATTCTGAAGTAACCAGCAGATCAATGGAATTTTGTTGCCCTTTCATACCTGACCGCCCTGATAAATCTGTCAGAATCAAACTGAATGCAAATAGTACAAGCCAAGAAGTTGTCTGACTTTGATAGCCAATGGTAATGTTACACAAAGGTTAAGGTGAGTAGAATTCATCCCAAAGAAGATTGTAAAAGCCAGCAACTGTCGCCTTATAATCTTCTTCACCGCCATTAATCAGGGAGCCAATCCCGTTACAACAGACATTTGTACAGTGGAGCAGTAGAATTTGACAGAACATGATCTGTGGCATTTGTTACAACAAACAGTTCTTTCCTGCATTCTGTCCTCGGCCAAGTCCAGTTTGATGGAGCGCTGCGTGCAGTTGCCATGGTGGCCAAAAGTCTAATATATTAAGTCGACTTTACAGGAGAAAAGAAACACTTTTCCCCCTGCTGTCTCTCAACTCCCTGCTCCATTTGTGCATGATGACCATATCACGCCAATACTGAATTATTTCTGAAAAAAAGTCTAAACTGTGACATAAAAAAGAAGCTTTACTACAGGTAATGCAGGTGAATGCTTACACTGATCTTAAAGCTGTTGTGAAATGGTAGCAATCAGCTGATGATATTGCTGGCCTGAGTTGTTCAGTTAACATCAATTGAAATTACAAGATATGGGAAAAGAAAACATGGAAACAGTAAAATCAATAATTAGAATAAAATAAGTGAGATAATAAACAAATAGGAAACAGAACAAAATGAACAAGCAATAAACTGAACACTCAAGCCAGAGGGGGAAGGCCATAGCTTTAGTGTACTTTATTTCAACTTTCTGACCACTTCAGTAAAAACCGCAAGGTTGTTACAACCATGGGCCGAATTTTACCAAAAATTGGCTCAGTGTCAATTTTGGGGAGCTTCATGGAGAGTTTCACTGCATGAGCTTAGGCAAATTATCTCCCCCAATGCTCTGTTGCTCCCCTCAATGTCTACACGCTCGCTTTATCATGCACTCATCCATGGTAGAAGTGCTTGCTACTGGGATTCCTGCTGCAAGACCATCATTAAAGCTCATTTGTGCACTGGGTCAGACACTGCAAGACGTGAACAGCCCTGTGCATTTGCTGCGAGAGATGATTCTACTCAGAGATGGCCGACAGAAGCAAGTTGGCCCCCCAGTTTGCTAACTGGCATCTGAACAGCCTGGCAGGCAGAGTGATGGAAAGGAGGGTATATTCTTTCCTGTGGATTTGCACAGGAGGCCAATCCACCAGATCTGACCAGCCAGGTCTGAAAGTGCCACACAGGTCAGTGGGGAGCCCAAGGACTGGAGAACGCCCAACAACGTAGGAAGATGGTTAATATCCATGTGCAACAGACATAGAAAATGCTGGAAAAGTCCAGCAAGTCTGACAGCATCTGTGGAGAAAGAAACAGAGTGAATGCTTCAAGTTTGATATAACTCTTCAAGAAGGTATCTAAAATCTAAGTTTTCCAATTGCCCCACATTTTCCCAACTGACTCACCATTGTCCATGACCTTCAAGGGCTGGAAAAAAAATCCTCTTGTTTCTCTTTTACCAAACCAGACCATAGAGATATATGGTGTTTAGGGAATTTGCTAAATTCATAAAACTCAATATGATCAGCAGTAAAATTTGATGTTTTTTACTGCATGTAGAGAGGAAGAGAACAACCAAATCTTCAACAATAACAACCCTAGTTAAGCAAGTCCATGTATTTCTAACAGCCAGAATGCTTTTCACAACATTTGAGTCAACATGATTATTGAAATATTGATTCTATTTCTGTGACATCCATAGAATTTGTTGAATGAAAAATATTCATTTCAGCTTAACTTCCAGCTATCTCACCCCCCAAAATGGTATCCGGAAGCACTAATGCAATGATTAATCTGTACATTAATACTTTAGCAATGAACCTTGAAATATAGTGATACTATGTTTTCATTTATACTTCCAAAAGCATTTCAATCCAGCTAAATAAAAAGCAATAACATTTCTGTACCCTTCAGTATCTGCAGTATTTTAAATTTTTCCTTCAGCTAAATGTCTGGCCTAAAATGAATCCAATTACTGTTCTTACAAATTTTCAAGAAATCCAGAGAAGTAAGCTGGAACAATAACTATTACACCTTCAACCGTAACCACCACCAGCTCCCCCAATAAGAATAGGTGATATGAATTCTTAAAATTTGGTGGAGTGCCACTCCTCTTCTGCAGACTATAGTCACAACCGCATGCCATTTTGGGCAGTGTCAAATTCTTCTATTCATCCAAAGGCTTGGTAAAATAAAAATGTATTTGTGGTGATTATAACAATGTTAGCCAGGTGGACTTCATAGTATATGAATACCTGATTGGGGCTGTTAACCTGGTCTAATCAGGGAGCCCTGGCTGACAGATAAGAACAGGAGTGTCAGAGGTTCTGTTCACTCTGAGAGCTGGATCAGTGTCAAGGACTCTCCACATGTAAATAAAGAGTGACTTGATGATTTTAGTGGCAATGAGAGAAAAGCATTTTCTGAAGAAATTTGCTTACAACAATCATCTTTGAATTGGGGTAAGCATTTCTGGCACCATGCTGCGATTTGAGAAGTTTGACTCATTTGATCCTATCGTTTTGTGGAAAGAATGTGGTTTTTTTTCTGGGCAAATCACCTTGGGGAAGATTAAAAGCAATGAGTAATTCTCCTGACAGCATGTGGACCACAGCTTTCTCAGTTATTCGGAGCCCAACATGTCCTGAGGCACCAGATATTAAAACCTCTCAAGAGTTGACAGATTTAGTTAAGGAATATTATGATGGCAAACCTCCTCTAATTTCTGAGGCACTATTGGTTTTACTTGGCAATTCGAGAACCAGGGGAATGTGTAATGGGATTTTTGACTAGATTAAGATGACTGGCAATGACATGTGACTTTGGTTTAACTCTTAATGAGATGGTGAGAGATTGTATGGAATGTGAGATTAACAATGTAACCATGCAAAAGTGCTTACTACCTGAAGCCCAAATGAACTTCAAACAAACA